TTGGAAGCCCATGGATACATGGGTATAATCAAACTCACAGGAAAAAAGGAGGCCCATGAACTTATCAAGCACATCAAACCACTGAATGAAACAGTCCCCTCATCCGTGAACCATCAAAGGAAGAGGACCCTGAACACAGTACACACTCCATTACCTGATCACTCACTCATCGTGAGCCATTCCTAGGAAAATTGCCACAGTGATAAACCTCTCCCCGGGCTTCAGTAGTCTTCCTGCCCATGATGACCACTCATGGCCCATTCCAGGCTAACACTGTTAAACTTTACAGACCTTGGCCTAGACTAATTTCTTGTACTTTGACAGGTCTGCTCTCTGAACAAATTCTTTGGCTGGTTCAAAAACTTATCTGACCACCTACAGTGACTCTGTGTTTGCATCTGCTCTCTGTCTTTGCGCAGTTCAAACTCTTCACTACTGTAGCACCTTACCCCTGTCTTAGCCTTTCTATAAAATATATATGTTATAAATATAAATAATTTATAATATGATATAAAAACAATATATAAATATTTATGTTACATGTATAAGTAATTTATATACAAGTGATGTATATATAAATATAAATGTATATAGTGTGTTGGCATGACTTGAGTATTATAGATATTAGAAATTAAGGTAGGAATAAAAGAACTTGTGATTGCCTGGCTTATGACTACCAGGTGGCCTACAAGTATTCAGAGATCTACCACCCACGAAAGTGGGGCAGCCTGTTAATTTATTGTTGCTCAATAAATTCTGACGTTATGGAAAGACACAAACGTGTTTGGTCTATGTTAATGGCTTAGATTGCTCATGACCATTATGAAGGATCCAACTCAGAAACAGGAAAATACAAGAGATGCCTAGGGCAAGGAAAATGGGGTGGGGGCCTGAGGTTCCCATACTTTGTTCTGGCACTCCACTCTCTTAGCACCCCCAGGTGTTTACCAACCTAGAAGGACTCCAAACCCCATTTGGGGGGGATCTTTCTAGAACAGTCGTTATGTAGGCATGATTGATTCAATCGCTGACATTTGTGATTAACTCAGTCCCCCGCTTCCACAGAGGTCAGGGAAGGGGCTGAAAGTTCCAACCCTGTTAATTATGCCTCGAAACTATCCTGAAAGCATGTTGCCTCACCACTGTCCCCAAACAGTCTTGGGGCATATAAAAGACCTGTCTGTTGTCACTCCAGAAATTCTAAGGATCACAGGAGCGCTTGTATTAGGAGCTGAGGACCAACACCAAATATAAAAAAAAAATGCCCCGGTCTCCCAATCACTTGGATTTTAGGAACTTTGAGTCAGAAGTCTACATTTAAGGCTAAATATGTATTTCTTATATCACAGCATCATGTTCTAACCTTACTGTTGTTGTTTTTTAATTCATCATAAAGAATTGGTTGGAAAGGAGAGTAGTAAAGTTTTGAAAAAGATGGAAAATGACAGAGGGCTATCTTTATCAGATACGTATTGAATTATAATGGTAATTATTAAAATATTAAGGATATGAAAGGAGGTAAAATATATATTAGCCTGAAAAAGATCTTGGGGTATGCATGTGTGTATGTATGTATGGTATGTGTATGTGAATTTAAGATACAGTGAGGATAGTATCACAAATGGAAAATGGAAAATTTGCTTAATAAATGAGTTTGTATAATTTGTTAGTTTATCAGGGTGAAGACAAACGTGTGTGTACACACATACATGGGGAGAGAGAGAGAAGGAGAGAGGTACCTATACATCTGTATATATAGACAGTGTGTATTTGAGAGTTTTATTTCTCTCTCGTGGAAGAGTCCTGTTGGTCTAGGCTTGCAAGGCAGCTGTACTTACAAGATTATTCAAGGATCTGGGTTCTTTCATTTACTCTGTCATCCCCTCGGACATTGTCCCTTTTCTCCGTGGTAAGCTAGGTTTCTGTTTATAGTGATGTGAAAGAGGAAATGTGGAGCAAGGCATTTTCTATTAAGCATGCAACATGAGTTGCACATACCTATCTATTCACATTCTGTTAATGAGTACATGGTCACATGACCATATCTTTATATATGAGAGATTGAGAACTGGACCACCATTGGCTCAGACACAATAAAGAAGGAGAAGAGACTCCACTATTATCAGAGAGATTGGATTCTGGGGACTATTAGCAGGTCTGGGTCACAGGAGTTACGTGAAAAGTAAAATACCAATTTAGATCTTATTTATCTATTTTTCAAAATAAATTCCAAGTCCACATATAATTAAATTATATAATAAGCATTCAAAAATGTTTATTTTTTAATTTTTTTTTATTATTGGTTGTTCAAAACATTACAAAGCTCTTGACATATCATGTTTCATACATTAGATTCAAGTTGGTTATGAACTCCCATTTTTACCCCAAATACAGATTGCAGAATCACATCTGTAAAAATGTTGATTTTTATTATCACTTTCCAGGTACTATTCTAAGTGTTTTTTAATGAATTTTATATTATTATTATTATTGGTACCAGGGATTGAATCCAGAGGCACTTTCCCACTGAGCCATATCCCCAGCCCTTTTTTATATTTTACTTAGAAACAGGGTCTTGCTGAATTGCTTAGGGCTTCTTTAAGTTGCTGAGGCTGGTTTTAAACTCACAATCCATCTGCCTCAGGCTCCCAAGCCACTGAGATTACAGGCATGCATCATCATACCCAGCTAATGAATTTTATTATTTAATCCATACAATGACCCTATAAAAAAAAGAGTACAGCCAATAAGACTCCAGTTGAGAATGGATAAAGAAAACAGACCAAAGACAGCTCACAGAATAGAAAATACAAATGGCAATTTAATTTTACTGATAATAAGAGGAAATATAAGTTTTAAAATGAGAAGTCATTTTCACTTATTAAACTGGAAAATATTTCATAAAATCTTCAAATTTGGGTTGGATGGGCTAAAAAATATAGACAGCCAAAGCCCATGTATGTAAAGAGCCTTAAACACATGACCCATGAGATTCTCTGTGATCCAGAAATTTCATTTTCAGAAATTTTTACCAGAGAATAAAAAATCAAAAAATATGTAAATATCTAGAGATGGGAGAATGAACTACAGAAGCTGCTATATATATGCCATATGTAATATCACATGTGACTTAATTTGTTAATAGTGTTATTAACAAGCTGAGAACATGCCTCTGATATAACATTAAGTAAAAAAATTGGGATATAAAATTTTCTTAAGTGAGATTTAAAGTATGTTTTTTTTTTTTTGACAAAGAAAATATACTACAAGTACCTATGTGACCTATTGATGGATGTCTCTGTTTCTCTTTCACTTCCTCTGCTTCTTAATAAAGCAGCACATCTGTATAGGGGAGAAAATAACATCTTCTCACCTACCCTAGGTCCACAGCCTAAGCCTCTGTAACCAAAGACAGATTGCTAAGAGAAGGGCATTCAAATTCATTTAATAAACTTTGTGACCTGGGAGTCTTCAGAAGGAAACAAAGACTCAAAGAAATTGTTTCTTTTACATTAAGTTTGATAAAGAGTGGGCAGTGTGGAGAAATATAATAGGACAAAGGGGACATAATCTACTGGTTATAAACTAAGGGAAATTTAGCAAGGCCTGTCTGCTGAGGTTCTTCTCCCTGAATTCCTAATTTTCAGAGATAAGAGTGATCTTTTCCTCTGGGACTAGGAAGGATGTCTCTCACATGAAGGTGGTCCTGTGACCTGCTGCAGGAAGAAGGGCAAGGGAACATGAGAACAGTTTTCCTGGCCCTGTGGTTCCCTGAATCTTTTCAGTTTAAAATATTCAATATGCCAGAGTACCATATTTTGGGAGAATATGTCCTGAGCACCACCATATGCATTTACTAATTATAAAAGGTTATTAGTTTTTTTTTCTTCCCACTCTACATTGTACTATCCCATGAGAGAAGGTACTACATCCTTCTATTCAACATTGGTACGGCATATAGCAGTGCCTGGCCAATATAGGTAAAGAATATTATTAGGTGATGTTGCATGATGGGCCTACAGGGGACCTAATTTTTAGAGCTTAATTTTTACAATGAAGTGGCAATACTTATCAAAAAATTAAGACAAAATTTTAAAACTTTAGGAATCAGTCCAGTTTTCTGATGGGTGAATGGCAAGCATAAGGTAAAATCTGGATGAAGATGAAAGAAATTGTTTCCTTTTTTTAGTGGAGAAGATTATGTCCATTCTCTCAACCCCATTCCCTTGTATGGGATTTGGATAGTGTTATCCTCCCTTGTGGAAAGAGAGCCTGCACAATATTTTACATGCACACATAGACATCATAATACTCTCTCGTGTCCTGTGGTTTGCTTAATACGATTTGTTATCTTGGCTGTGCTGTGGGTAGTGCTGGTTTGTTATAGATATACAGGAAATGTTAAATTGGAAAAGAAGTGTTAAAATGGGAGCTGATTTATTATGCCCTTGGTTACCTGTACAATTGGGTCACATGAAACTTCATATGTAAAATTAGTCAGCATTCTTTAAATATGCCAGATATATATGAAAAAAATTTTAAATGAAAATGTAGTAGTAAACATAGAATAGCTTCCTTCTGTATTACCTGAATTAGATATTTTAGCTCTCAGGTCAAATATTTTGAAACTGTAAAATCAAATTTTCTGTTGACACAGTAAGTGGAGTAGAAAGTTACTGGAACTGTTGGCTACAGGCGAATTTTCCAGACTGCAGATCAGGTACGTGGAATGACACAGGCCTAGAAGTCTGCTGTTCACGTTTAACATCAGTATGTGTAAGGTAACTTCAAAGTAATTACAAGCAGTTAAAAAAAAAAAAAAAACACCCTACATAAAAAAAGAACATTTTCATTTAAATTCTCAAAAGGATAAGGTTGGAGGGAAGAAAACTTTGGTAGAATTTGGATGGTTTCTAGCAGACAATAGCAAATGGCCGCAGAAAGAGGAGGCTTGTGCCGGTGGACTTAAACCTGAGTGTGACTATGTAAATTTTCCTTAGAGACAAGCAGTGACGAGCAAGCTGGTTCGTGTTAATGCTCCGAGTGTGCGCCCTGAGGGCTATTAATGAATACCGGCGGCAGTTTTCCAAACGGAGGGAGCCCGTGTGTGGTATCCAGCAGGTCGGGCTTCAGAAGGGGATGTCAGCAACTTCAGACCCGAGTCACGTGATCCCGCTGCCTGCCAACACAGAGGCTCTCTCTGGATCAGATTTCAAGTCCGGGCCGTCCTCCCAGCCATGTGGGTTTAGCCGAAAAAGAAGCAGAACCCCACTTCCTACCATGCGTCCAGCCGCCCCTCACCTACCGTGGGGCCTTTGGATTGGAAGCTGCTTTTCAAATCAAAACGTATCCACAGAGTGGAATTTTCGAATTTTGCTGTCCTTTTAATGTTTTCGTCTGGACTTCATCAGTTCTTCCAGACACTTCCTGAGAGAATGGGGGCAGGAGCGCTGGCCATCTGTGTGAGTACAGGCCTTCTGCCTTCTGGGGGTGCTGCGGGCGCTGAGGAGGGGAGGCCTCTCCCTCCTGGTTAGGGGGGATGTGTGGGGAACTTTGTTTTTCCCTGTTGGGTGCTGGGAGAAGATGAGTTACCAAAATTCCTGTCTATTCAGATGGATATTAAGCAGGATTGGAGGTGGCATCCAGCATTTTGTCCACTTTTGTTCCCAGAAAAGGTGAAGAAAGATGCTGAGCCTGAGTGGACCCCAGTAAGTCCACTTGGTCTAATGTGGGAACAGGGTCTGCAGTGTTGGGCTTTATTATTCCCAAAGAGTCAAATAGGAGTGCTTGATCTTAGTTGTTAGAAAACTCTTGTAGCTAACCTAAGAGAAGAACTAAAATAATCACTGATTCATTGTCTCTGAGTTTGTGTATGACATTTTTCTAGTGCACATTCCTATTTTCCTTTGGCAATTCTGGAATTTTTATTTCAGAAAGGTTGTTGAAAATGATGCTGGAATAGCCTCATTGATAAATGTTTGTGAATCTTTCTTCATCAGGATTCTGGTGGTTAGAAACAGTAGCATCAATAAGTAACACAAAATCCATGAGAAAACGTACATACCTTGAAGACTAAATTTCATAAAATTCGAAATAATTTTGCTGCTGCTCATATAAAACTTATTGCAACAATCGAATTTTGTCAGTGATACAATTTACAGAATGCTGTGTCTTAAAATTTTACTTGTATATAGAAAAAGCATATGTGTAGCATACATATTTATACTTCAACTTGATGTTGTATTCCAAGAGGGCATTTTATTTGTATCTAAAGGTACTAAATGAGAAATATTGTGTTCTTTATTATCACCTTTTAAATCACATTCAAATCAGATTTTTTTTTTAAGTTTCAAGAAGACCTGTAATTTTTTTGTAGGTTATGGTGGCATCCTGAAATATCTAGAACTATCCATGAAATTTTTGACACATAGACCCAGAATGGTCACCAGATGGTGGACCAGCCTCACAGATTGAGTTTTCTTAGCAAAGCTGCAGGTTCGGCCTCTTCAGCACCCTCTATGCCTGTCTTCTCTCTTAACCCCTGGCTTGCAGCATCCAGATACACAGTGGTTTAATCACTCCAAAGCGGTTCTTTTAAAATCTGGCTTATCTGGGAGCAAGATGCTGAGTTTTATTTTACTACAGAGACATGTCTTCTATTTTTCCATGTTTATAAAAGAAATATTTCATAACTGAAAATGTATAGGAGGAGGCAGCAGATTGATATACTTGTCAAGCAGATTTATTACCACTTCTGATTGTCTGATTAGAGTCTTACTTAGGTTTTTGGCCTGCGGTATACCAATCTGCAACACTTTGACCGAAATTCAGACTGACTCCATATTTTCCCTCAGTTTATATCCAAAGTATGTACAAAATTTCATGTCATGTTGACATAAAAATCCCAGTTTTAGAGATTATTCATCTAGTAGCTGAGTAATTATCAATCATTCCTACCATTCCGCCTATAGTTTGGGCTATATTGGGTTATATTGGGCTGTGCCTGTAGGAGGAAATATGATAGAAAAAGATGTACACAGTAGGTTTGGAAAATGGTGCTTTTGGTGAATAAAATTTTTTTTTCTTAACATTCGTAATGAGAAGTAAGGACTAAGTCACTTTTATGCATATGCATGTGTACTACATACACATGAGCTGATCAACTGCTTCTTGGTTTGGGGCTTCTCTATGTAGACATATGTTATATGTACCTATTACTCAAGTGTCCTGCTGCTGAAGAGTCATTTTTCAGACAAAATAATGGAGAACAGATGTTTGTTCTTGGTGAGTGTGTGTGAACTCTTGTGTTATGACTTCTTGAACTGGGATACTTTCTATGTCCATTAACTAACCTGATTTCTCCTCCTTAGTCATTTTATTTAACCCTTTCTCATATAGATAAGTATCATGGAATTTTGCTGCTAGCATTACTGTAGTGGGCTCACACAGATAGTTATATAACCACTCTTAAGAGCAAAGAAAATGTAGCTGTTTTATTGCAACAAATCTATTTTTCCTCAGTAAGCCACCCACCTGCAGGCAGAGTGGGAAATTATACTTGCCAATTAATGTTATCTTCTCTCTTGTAGTTTTATATGTGAGGTTCTCTCAGGTGAATCCTGAGCCTTGGATTTCCTGTGCCTCTCTCTGCTCTGTCTAAGGAGGCCTGAGGGCATTTTAGGAGTGGTACGTGGAGAATGGTAGTTTTCAAATCCTTGTGGATGGAGAAATGAGAGCTAGAATACACGTGTGGAGGTTCTTACCCTCTGGCTGCTCTGATTTGTGGGTGAGTTCAGGTATCAGATCTGTACCTGGCGCAGCGGATCAGTTCTTTTGGTATAGCAATGTTCTCTTCATGCTGATGAAGCCCAAACTCTTTCTGGTGCTGACAATCCCAAAGATATTCCTTTGTAGCCTTTCTCTTCAGCTTGGAGCCTCCTACTCCTATAGCCTTTCCACCTGGTACCATCAGCTACCTTGAACATATACCCCAAGAGTGAGCAAGGACTTGTGGTCAGAGAAGAGAAAGTTTCATATACCAAATTAAAATATTCCAGTCATAAGATTTATTTAGGCAAAGTACAGCAAAAGCAAGAGAGAGGTATGTGGTTTGTTTACCTACTTAAAAAGGGAAGTGGAAAGAAAGGACTCTACTCCTGAATTTATGGTTTTGTGTCCAGTCCCTCTTGCTCTCCTCTGCCATGTTAGCATTGCGTGATCATGGTGTGCTTTTGAGGACCAGCACTGTGTGCACAGCAGATGGACTGTGTCTGGAGCCAGCGTAGCTTGCTTAATCACCAAGTGCAAGTCGGCCTGGGTGTGATTGTAATTTGCCAATCCACTACTGAATAGCTATGAATTTTTATCTATACATCTCAAGCAGACAACTCGTGGAGCCCAAATGATTATAATCAATGGGCCATAAATATTTGGTACCTCATGAATGTTGGGTGCTTATTTTGTCCTCCTGATTGTCTGTACTAAATATGTCTATGAATGTCTCTGCCATAGACAACATTGTGTACCCGTCTTATACTTCCTGGTCTCTGGGACAGTGAGAGAGAAATTTCTGTTGTTTATAAGTCACCCCATTTATAGGAATTTTATTATAGCAGCCTGAACAGACTAGGGCAGAGTTAGTGTTAACTGATGGGGTGTTGAGTAGCAAATACCTAAAAATATGGAAACAACTTTGGAACTCGGCATTGCATAGAGCCTGCTAGAATTTTGTGTTGCCTGCCAGAAAAAGCTTACATTTCCAGGTGCAGTGGTGCATGCCTGTAATCCAAGCAGCTCAGGAGACTGAGGCAGTAGGATTGTGAGTTCAAAGCCAGCCTCAGCAACTTAGTGAGGTCCTAAGCAATTTAGCAAGACCCTGTCTCTAAATGAAATACTAAAAATGGCTGGGAATGTGGCTCAGTGGTTAAGCACTCCTGGGTTCAATCTCTGGTACCAAAAAAGAAAAAACCTTACATGGCTATGAATGGACTATAAAGAAAATTCTGGTGAGAAGAAGGAGAGTGAGAAAGAAAAAAAATGAAAGCAATCGAGAAAGCGTTAATCTTCTAAGAAATTATCTAAGTAATCTTGAACAGATGTTGATACAAACATGGATGGCAAAGGCCATTCTGATGAGGTTCCAGATGAATGGGAGGAGCATGGAAACTGGCAGAAAGGTGACCTTCATACAAAGTGGTGAAGAGCTTGACTGTGTTCAAGTTTTAATGTTTTGACACAGCTTGACTAAATTGTGTTCATTGTTGTGTTTTGTAGAATGTAGAATTTGTGAACAATGAAATTGGACATTGAGTGGAAGCAATTTCTAAGTAAAGAGCTGAAGAAGTAAAACTTAAAGATATGGGAAATTCTCAGACTATTCACATTGTAAAGAATGAGATGGCCAGTTGAGGGTGGTGAGGGGACCACTAAGGGTCTGACAATAAAGTAAATAAAGCCACTGTTGGATAAGGAAGTTAATATGGATCAACCCTCTTAGCAGAAGCTAGGAGCTGTTCTCCAAGACATTGGAAGAATAACCCAAGGGCAGTTGGGAAATCACAGGGTGCATACTCTTATCACAGGCCCACAGTGTACACCCTGAGCCAGAGTAGTCTCAGAGGAGGGGCTGCTAAACCTGGAGTCTGTAGGATCGTACAAAGTACTACCCACCACCTCCTTGAATCTTAGGCTGGGTTCCCCATACTCTGGAGCCACAATCCTCAGCTGTCCCAGGTACTGTTCCAGCAGGCCCAATGCAGCATCGTGGCAACTTCTCCAGAGGGCACAGGCAGCCAACTTCATTGACCACATAGCACCATCTCTGCACAGTGTATAGGGCACTTGAGCCCTGGGAATAAGGCTGCGTCCACCTAGATTTCAAAGGATGGAACCATCATCCCACAGAATTTGAGAGGTTGGGCCCAGGCAGAGACCTGCGGCACGACCAACTTGCCAAGCCCCGGGAACAAAACCACTTGGGGCATTGGAAGTCTAGCCCCTGCCCAACAAAGCTGTAGGGGTGGGATCCCTGCCACAGTGGGACCAGAAGACAAGATCTCTGCTCTAGTGGGCCTGGAGTATAGAACCCTGAGGCAAGGAGAGGGTTATTCTCCACCCTTAATGTTTAATGGAGTCTCTCCACCATTGGGTCTTGGCTTGCTCAGGACCTACACTACTTTCTTTTCTCTTTCTCCTTTTTAGAACGGGAATGCCTGTACTATGGCTTACTCATCATTTATTTTGGAAGCACATAACTTGTCTGATTTCACAGACTCATAGCTGGAGAGGATTTGCCTATGTATGAGTCATACCTTGACTGTCACACATGTCTTGATTTAGATCATATTTAGATGAGACTTTGGACTTTAGACTCTTGAGTCAGTGTTAGAACCTTTGGACTGTTGGAATGAAACAAATGTATTTTGCATGTGAAAGGATAAGAATATACAAGGAGGGGGACAGA